TTTTCATTAATAAAATTAAAAACATCAGTGCACAATTTTCCACACCACAATCTGTCAAGCACATCTTACCAGCAAACATACACTCATTCACATCATTCTCTTCACTCTCTGAAGCAGAAGTCTCCAAACTCATCCTTTCTAATCTTCATACTACTTGTCCGCTTGATCCTATTCCATCTCATCTCCTTCAAGCCATTTCTCCTGTAATTGTACCTGCACTCACTCACATCATTAACATATCCCTTTCAAGAAGATCAGGCCCTTTCTTTCGGAACATGCTTCACAACTCCTTGTTCAAGCTCTTGTTCTGTCCAGGCTGGACTATTGCAATGCTCTCTTGGCAGGTCTTCCAGCCAGTTCTATCAAACCTTTCCAATTAATCCAGAATGCGACGGCAAGATACATATTTAATGAGCCAAAAAGAATGCACATCACACCTCTGTTTATCAATTTGCACTGGCTACCAATAGCTGCTCGCATAAAATTCAAGGCATTGATGTTTGCCTACAAAACCACCACTGGCTCTGCACCCCTTTACCTAAATTCATTACTTCAGACTTATGTGCCCTCTAGAAGATTACGTTCTGCAAGTGAACATCACACAAAATCACTTTTACGGACTTTTAATTAAATGTTCCCTCCTGGTGGAATGACCTGCCCAACTCAATCCGAGCAGCTGAATCCTTAACCATCTTCAAGAATCGGCTAAAAACACATCTCTTCCATCTTTATTTGACCCTCTAACTCTAGCACTCTCTATTTTAATTATATTCTTAAAAAAAACACTTGTGCCTTTTAGACTTGCACGCTATTCATTTGCTGCTTGTTTTCTTTAAAAAAAAAAACCCTAACACTTGCTTTCTAATCTTTTTGTATTCTATCTGTTTTCTTTTCATTTATTATACAATTAAAACAAAAGCAAAAAAGACCAAACACTTGCTCTATTCTATCTGTTTTCTTTTTAATTATTATATAAACATTTTTTTTTTAAACTTGCTACGTGTACTGCATTAAGCTAACTGAGACTTGTTATAGCACTTTTGTATGTTGCTTTGGGGGGAGTTAATTGTAACTCACTAACAAGTGTTAGTCATGGCATTCCTGATGTCGGCCCGCTGCTTAGCCAAAGCGCTAAATACTCTCAACGTGTTTTTGTAGTGTTGAACAATGTAACCAATCACAGACATATATGTTGCCGCAGTTTTTAAGTGCAGTTTTGCACGCTCGTGAATCATCTCATGACTAAGTGCATACGCATGTAAATAAGAGATTCATTGTGCAGTTTCGAGAGCTTCATTGATCATAACGGAACTTTGTAAGATCGCGATGAACAAAGATGAGTGACGCTTTTTAGTGATAAAGGGAGCGTGCTTTGGCACTTTCTAGGGTATAATACATTCGGAATTTGTATGAAACTTTCGTTTTTCGAAAACTTAGGCTACACCCTGCAAAGTTTCGGGAATGACATCCACATATTTATGCGGGATTCAATCTCGAAATAGCAATGATTGGCAATGGACTGAACATAAAATGTTGATTTAATTCTGGAACAGGTCCTGGCCAAAACTCCACAGCCAGCGCACGTCCCGAGCAAGATCTAATTCACGGACCAAAAGCGTGTGTAAACTTTATTGATAGACATATCAACCAGTAATTAAAATTTTCTTTTCCAGTAACGGACGGTAGAAAGTCCAGCAATGAAATGGTGTGTGATTTATGACAGAATATAGTCCCACAACTGATTGTTTATTTTTTCCTCACGTGTCTCACCTTTGGTAACATCGATTCAAAACGGAAACATTTCAAGTGACACGGGAAAAAAGACATGGAAAACTTCAGTTCACATCAGAAAAGCAGCGTGCAGATATCTGGTTAAAAATTAAAGGCCATCAACTGACAAACGGGAAGCATCACCATTCAAGGCAGGAGGAAGAGCCAAAGCTAGTCCAACAACAAACAGGTATGGCACAGGCAAGACAAAGAATATTCCTTGGGCTAGCGCGAGTCAACGATCGGCGAACAGTATCCAGAGGGCTTGACAAGAGGGGTAATCCAATAAACACAGGCAGAAGGTCAAGAAACAGGAATCAGAAGATCGGAGTAGGAACTGAGTGGGTGTTATGTTGTGTGTGTGATTGGTCTCAGGTGATCATGTGATTAGTGAAATGGTGCATAGGAAATGTAGTCCATGGTGACGTGCAACAGTCAGTGTAGTGAGAGAGTCAATATGATGGACGAGTGACCTCTGGTGGCGATCGGATGGAAGTCCACGGACCGGATTCGTGACATATACACACAAATATGTATATATATATATTAGTGCTATCAAATGATTAATCACGATTAATCGCATCCAAAATAAAAGTTTTTGTTTACATAATACATGTATGTGTGCTGTGTATATGTATTATGTATATATAAATACACACACATGCATGTATATATTTCAGAAAAATATGTTCCATTTACATATCAAATATATTTATTTATAATATAAATTATATGAATATAAATATAGACATGTAAATACAGCACTAATATATGAATATGACATAAAATTATATAAAATGACAACACTAATATATATACGATTGCACACAGCTGTTTCATATCACTCACTATTTAACACTCACTCTGATCCCTTCTCTCTGCCGAGTATTGTATGCGTTTATCACTCTCTTAGCGATAGCTACTCTACGGAGCCTGTTTCCCTTCGATGACCTTGGCCTTCTGATTAGTGCCTGTGTACTTTGTATTACCTCTCTCGTCTTGCCCTGTTCGGATACTGTTTGCCCCTGCCTGGACCTTTGCATTGTTATTGGATAACCCCTCGTGTCAAGCCCTCTGGATATTGTTAGCCGCTTATCGACCACGCCCGTTTTGGATTACTCTTCTGTCTTGCCCTCATTATACCTGTTTGCCATTGTTCGACCCTGCCTGTGTTTCTGACCTCTTCTGTTTTAATAAAGCTCGCACATGGATCACGTCTCGTCAGCCACGTTACACATATATATATATATATATATATATATATATAATTTTCTTAAGTTGTAAATAAAACAAAGATTACAGATGTACATTTTACAAGAAAATGTAATCCTTATTTCTACCTCAAAATATCTAATTGAATTAAATGAGTTACTTGCTGTTTTTGTAATGTATTGTGAAACTTACTAGCAATTTACTAGAGCGAAAACTTTTCTATATATTTTTTCAGTGTATATTATACAAAAGTATTTGCTTAAATGCATAATGTAAAATTTTACATTATTTTATTTTTTCATTTTGTTTTACTTTTTATTGTTGTTCATGATCTCTCTCTTTTGGTGTTCACAATGAGAAGCATTCTTCTTCTTTCCTACATAAAAACTCTCCTTCCCTACAGTTGTCTTTTGTCTTGCTGTAAAGCTGCTAAAAACAGTTATGAATAATCCAGTGTCATTACAGGACACTTTTACTGCAGCTTACCAGCCTCTGTTACACTGCTCTGGTAAAGGGCTTTAATCTGTCTGCCATGGTAGAGCAGTCTAAGTCTGAACAGGTGCATGACGGACATATACACACAAATCCTCCACGCGCGCGCACACACAGCTCTAAACACTATATCTGTATGCACTTCAGAGAGGACAAAAGGGACAAAGTGAGACACGAGTGGCCATTGAATTTTGTTTTGCGTCAACATGGGGATGACATTTACAGTGCCTTCCAAAAGTCTCCCTCTCTCTTTCTTGAACTCTCTCTTTCAAGCTCTCTGTCTCTCTCCCTCTCCTGCAACATGCCTACAGGGTTCTGAGGACAATGGCGCTCTTCTACTTCAAGTAGCTTCAAAGGCTTAGCTACAGCAAGCAGGCGTCTGTGACTTCCTCTGAAGTGCCTCGCTATAATATATTATATCTCGATGTCCCCAGAGTGCCGCCCAGGCCTGTAGTCTGGACCAGAACCATACCGGGGTCTTTGCCCTTCCTCATAAAGTCTATAATCATTCCACTGCCATCATCACGCATTTGAGACCACATGAGATATGAGGGACGAAAGAGAAAATCAAAACGGTGAAAACAGAAATGGCGTCTTTGTTAAGCCAGCGAAGACTTCTAAGATGTGACTTTAGAGAATTTGTGGGTACACAACATTGACACAAAGGGAATACCAGATGAAAGCATTAGAGATGTAAATAACTCTTCTGCCAGAGAGAGAGAGACTGTGACACACAGACAAAGAGAGAGAGAAAATATGTGTATGTGAATAGATAGAACGAGAACTATAGAAACAGAAAGATCGTAAAGTGAACCATATCTATATAGAGATCTGGGGCCGGTTGCACCAGCTGTACGTAAGTAACAACTTAGCCTAGTTTTGACGTAAATGGGCACTAAGTTACAACTTACGCACTACTAAATATTTTTTCGTTGCACCATTACACGTAGTTGAAGTGTAACTCTACTCTACAGAAGCGTCTGGTCAGGAGTAACGGTTGGAATAAAATAGCAGACTGAGTGAACTGCATCAATATGCACTTCTTTTACCCGACAACCTTCAATCCTTTAGGCATACAGTATATGATGCTGCTGACATTTAGTACATATTAAGAGAAAGAACAATATGTGAATAAATGTACTTTGTTTCTTTTTTAGCGCGTCTTTAACACCCCAGTCAGCAAACAAACTTGGCCCAGATTTGGCATGCAGCTGGCATTCATCCGGCACTGGCATACATCATGTGGGCCAAACATGGTCCGGGATTGGCAGAGATGGTACCGGGTTTAAGAAGGCACACAAGACATGGGCCAGATGTCAAATGTAGTATTTGGTCCAGATGTCAAATATAGGTATGTGGGCCACATAAGTATGGCCGATCTTGACCCCCATTTAAAATCCATTTCAAATATTTTTGAGGCTTTTTGGTAAAAACTCAACTTGTCGTGTTTGGAGGAGAAAGAATGCTGAGTTGCATCCAAAGAACACCATACCTACTGTGAAGCATGGGGGTGGAAACATCATGCTTTGGGGCTGTTTTTCTGCAAAGGGACCAGGACGACTGATCCGTGTAAACGAAAGAATGAATGGGGCTCTGTATTGTGAGATTTTGAGTGAAAACCTCCTTCCATCAGCAAGGGCATTGAAGATGAAACGTGGCTGGGTCTTTCAGCATGACAATGATCCCAAACACACCGCCCGGGCAATGAAGGAGTGGCTTCGTAAGAAGCATTTCAAGGTCCTGGAGTGGCCTAGCCAGTCTCCAGATCTCAACCCCATAGAAAATCTTTGGAGGGAGTTGAAAATCCGTGTTGCCCAGTGACAGCCCCAAAACATTACTGCTCTTGAGGAATGGGCCAAAATACCAGCAACCGTGTGTGAAAACCTTGTGAAGACTTACAGAAAATGTTTGACCTCTGTCATTGCCAACAAAGTGTATATAACAAAGTATTGAGATGAAATTTTGTTATTGACCAAATACTTATTTTCGACCATAATTTGCAAATAAATTCTTTAAAAATCCTACAATGTGATTTTCTGGATTTTTTTTTCTCATTTTGTCTCTCATAGTTGAGGTATACCTATGATGAAAATTACAGGCCTCTCTCATCTTTTTAAGTGGGAGAACTTGCACAATTGGTGGCTGACTAAATACTTTTTTTCCCCACTGTATATATATAAAACGACAGGATATACCCTAACCCTATATAACCCTAACCCTAACCATTCAAATCGCATTGAAACTGGAGCGGAAGGAGTTACCATGGAAACAGGTCGTCAACTCACTCAGAGAGTCCGTCTCTCTGCTGTTTTCAGGTAAGTTTAGTCCCTAAAATCACACAAATAATACATACAACCGTTCCTGACACTTTCTTACATTTAATTGACACGTTTCTGTTGAATCTTTACTTTACAGGAATGGTTTAGTGTCTTCAGAAAGACCGTTAGCATCACAACTGTTAACTAGCTATAGAGGCTATATTAGAGGTAACTTAAGCTAAATATAGATTTGAGATTTGAGCTCTTATTAATGAAAGTTTGAGCTTTTAATCACATTTTATGTGTAGATGAGCGATTTTGATAGTTTGTAAATGTTTTGCTGGTACTTTGTCAATAGATAAATGGAAGTAACTATAAGCGAATTAATTTAACCTAAAAGTTAACCTTAAATTAATTTAACCTAAAAGTCTGCACTGTGGGGTCAATCGGTGACGTCACTGACATGAACTAATGGGCTGAAACTATTTCAAACACGTTTTGAACTTTCATTGCAAACAAATGTTGATCAATTGTACTGTGATTTCAGGAGCATCAGAAAAAACCCTAAAACGGGAAGTTACAAGAAAATGTGTAATGGGAGCTGCTGACAGAGATACAGGAAACACAGGTGATCTGAGAAATCTTATTAAATAACTTTATTTTTGCATTTTTCACAATATATTTCAACTATATCATCATGCATCTGTAAAACCTAAAAATGTGAATTCTGATATCTTAAGATTTTTTTGTATGTTTCTTTTTCTTTTCTTTTTGTATGTTTTGTATATTATTATTTCTCTTTTCTGCATTTCACCTCTGCTGTAGTTAGTTTATTTCTAATAAACCTGGCATATATGTATAATACATATTGTTGGCTATGTGACATATTGTTCCTATATTCTTCCATGCTGATGGCCGTGCTGCAGAGCTGGAGCAGATCTCCTGACGAAGAACATCTCCAAGGCACTATGAACCATCTGACTGGTAAGTAAAACCTCAAACATTTAAAAGTTTATCAAATATTAAAAAATATTTCCTGTATGTCCTACAAGGCCATCTTGCTTAAATCTGCACTGAGGACACTTCATACACAACAACCTACAGAGGGGTCCATCATAATTCGAAAAAAGACACAGATGATAATAAAAAAAGATCTTTGAAATAAAAATTATAAACGGTAAAACAGAACCAGAATACTGTGAACGTACCTCACTTCAAACTGTAACGGTCTGTATGTATATTCTTTTCTAAACTTTAGTGAAGTGTTTGTTCAAGTAGACTTTGTTGCTTGTGGAAAACTCACGCAAGCCTGAAAGGTACTTAAAACTTA